CTGTGTCCCTTTCTTCATTTGTAATCTTCCTGTCTCCGATACATTATACAATGGACCTTTACGAATATGCTGGCCTTGCTCAATGCAACGCTGGCCGAGGTGGAACAAATGATAGATTATGTGTATAACCTCTGAGGCATTCTTTCGAGATGGTGCATAGCCTATTACTGAAAGAGGAGCTGGGTATAAACTTGCAGCAAATGCACCGAACAATTATTATTATTTTTTAAAGTGGAGCAATAAAGGGACAAAGAACATTGGGAGGGAGCGTGGGGATGAATGATGAGGCAAGTGTTGCCATTTATCAATGGGATTGTCTGTATGGTTGTGGAAAGCAGAGTCCGCATCGGAATTGTAAGCCACTGTGTGATATATTTTGCAACTGCATGGTGCGAAAGCATCATCACAGACGATCCGTAGCACGAAATTGTAACTGGGCAGGACTTTGGACCCGAGCTTCCCCACATTCAAGTCCAACATACTTTCTTGTCCCTGTACCACGCTGGGCCAAAAGGGTTCCCTACCCCTGGTATACAAGACACTCTTCAACTCTCTCAAAAACTCTTACCTGTCTCCAGCTCACTACCCAAAATGGCTGCACCATGCAACGTAATATTTTAGTGCACTAATACGATAACTTCTTGCTGCCACTAGATGGTTCTTGTGATCACTGGATGGCAAAAGGCAGAATGTCTAGTGGGCAGTAGTGGTGTGGTTAAGCACTTTTACAGAGCTTTCCTAACCCCATAATCCACCATGCTGGAGGGGCTAGGATGTGCCTCCCTCTGCTGAGCTCTGCCAGAATTTGCTATTTGGTGGGGGTGAGGGCTCTGCTGCCAAAAAAGGCCCCCACTGCACCTGTGGAAAGCATGGTTGGGAACGACTACTGCTGGTAGTTGATAGTTGACATACCCCATGGGATTTTTCAGGGCTGGGGAGGGGCAGAGCTGGGCTGGGCTGGGCTGGCCAAGGATACACAGTGGATCTCAAGGCAGTTCAGACATCTTCAATGGGCCAAGCGAGAATTGGTGAAGTTACCACCTTCTGTCCTAGCCAGGGCTTGAGTTGTAGTGACAGCTCTGGTGCTCCATTCGGCCCTGCTGTTTCTGACCTGAAGACAAGATTGCTCCATTTGGGCATCCTGGCAGCCCTCTCATTGGATGACAATGTGCATTGCTTCACTTACTTGAAAATGTGGAAAGCTAGCACTGGGGTGTTAGGGGCCCCTCCAGTTCTACATTCTGGAGTATGATATGTTCTTATAGATTATGTCTGAATAGGATGAGAGTGTTGGAGATACGTGCAAATGTGTATGTGAACCCGGTCTTCGAGTGGGTGTTTGATTTTCGTTGTTGTGTATACTGTGTATATACGGACAATGACAATAAATTTATCAATCAATCAATCAATCAATCAATTCTGCTCAGCAGGGCTGTAGAACCCGGTCCCAAAGCCCTACCTCTGAGGGCACCACGAGTGAAAGGGGGAGGCTTGTTTCTACAGCGAGCCTGTTGAACACCGGTGGCAGAAAAGGCAGGTCTGAACTTTCAGGTTCAATGTGTGACCTACAAAGTTCATCACATGGAAACAACAAGACGTAATTTGAAAGGAGTCTTTCCCACAAGCAACGTGTCTGAAGAGAAGAGGGCGGCTTGGCTTCTGACAGTCTGCATCTCACAATACACTGCAGGGTGACATCAAAGGCTGATGGGGAAAGTTTGACTTTTTTGCGGGCGGCAAAAAAATCCTCACCACAAAAAAATCTTTTAAAATACAGTCGTACCTTGCTTCTAGAACGCCTTGGTACTCGGATGTTTTGGCTCCCGAACGCCGCAAACCTGGAAGTAAGTGTTCCAGTTTTTGAACGTTTTTCAGAGGCTGAACGTCCGACGCAGCTTCTGATTGAGCACAGGATGCTCCTGCAGCCAACTGGAAGCCACGCCTTGATTTTTGAATGGTTTCGGGAGTCAAACAGACTCCTGGAACGGATTAAGTTTGAGAACCAAGGTTCTACTGTACACTGCTTTGTAGTGGTGGTTGTTTTGCTGTTTAAATTCTGAATACAGTGGTACCTCGGGTTACATATGCTTCAGGTTACATACGCTTCAGGTTACAGACTCCGCTAACCCAGAAATAGTACCTTGGGTTAAGAACTTTGCTTCAGGATGAGAAGAGAAATCATGCTCTGGCAGTGCAGCGGCAGCGGGAGGCCCCATTAGCTAAAGTGGTGCTTCAGGTTAAGAAAAGTTTCAGGTTAAGAACAGACCTCTGGAACAAATTAAGTACTTAACCTGAGATACCACTGTATATCAAAATACAGACTTTTGAACTGGGCTAGGAACCTTGCAACCCACCCCTGAAATCACTTTGCCTTTCTCTCTACACGCAAATCAAAAGACATCCCAGGCCCCATTTTACACAAAGACCAAAGTACCAGTTAAGGGCTCCTCGCTGAACAACTTGGTGACGTTCTCTGAAGGGTTTCCAGTAAATGGGAGGCGGGAGGCTCTAGGAAAAGGATGCAACAACGAAAAGAGAAAAGCTTGGGTGAAGAAGTAGTCTCAGATGATGGTGATGCCCTTTCTCACCTTTTACAACACAGCATCAAGGCCCAGAGAAGCATGTTTCAAAATGACTACTTGTCAAGGCTAAGGGCCCAAGCCACAAAGGGAGACACTGTACCAAAAAAAAATCAGACGTAGTTTAGGAGCTCACATGGCTTATGTTCTCAAGGACAGGCATGTTGCTTGCATCGTATAAGAATCAAAAGACTCTTCTCGTTCAAATCAACCCCACCCTATGACAGGGTGGGGAATCTCAGCAGCAAGGCTATCCCTCTTCTCCATCATCAGCACAATATGGAGAGAAAGACTCTTCCTTCAGTGGCATTGAATCACGGTTCTTTTAATAACATCCAAAGTTCCCTTCTTCCATCTTCAAGATCTGAAAAGGCTCCAAGACACAGCCCAATGACTTTCCCAAAGATCTCCTCATCAAAATGATAAGCAGCTCCCATATGTTGTGTTTGGGAGGGTGGGGGAGATGTACATACAGTGGTACCTCGGGTTACAGACGCTTCAGGTTACAGACTCTGCTAACCCAGAAATATTACCTCGGTTAAGAACTTTGCTTCAGGATAAGAACAGAAATCGGGCTCCAGCGGGGCAGCAGCAGCAAGAGGCCCCATTAGCTAAAGTGGTACTTCAAGTTAAGAACAGTTTCAGGTTGAGAATGGACCTCCAGAACGCATTAAGTACTTAACCCGAGGTACCACTGTATAGCTTATGAACAAAAACCAAAGGCTGGGATGCAAGAAGGCACCATTTTCCCCTTCACCCGCCATTCATCGCATGCAGTTCGTCTCCTGCCAAATACGGCATTCTTCACCTTGCTGTCTGCTGTGGTGAAATTACGTAACTTGCATAATGGACATAATTCATTACGTAAATTATGTTGAAATTACATTATTCCATCCCACTCATTTCAGTGCAAAGGAAACACAATGCAGATGAGTTGGGAGGGCATCAATTGCAGCTTATTTGCGGACTGAGAGCAACAGCAGCAGCAAATACTGATCGTATTTGCTGGATTCATTTACACTCAGAACGTGGGGTGAATAAGCAAACACTGGCAATTTCCGCTCCCATTTTTGATTCGGTCGGAAATCTCTGACATCTGTACTGAGGAACTAGCTCACTAATGAAGACCCTTAAAAGGCCTCCCTTAGAGGGAAAAATGTGTGCTGTGAGTCGCATGCTTGTTATCTATTGATTTCTACAGTGCCTTTTGGAAGTAATGGAACTTCACACGCCTGAGTTAAATGCTAGGAGTTCAGCTCCTGGCTGGTCTAAAGATTTTTGACCCTGTGCCCCAGAAATGCCCTAACAGCTGCAATTGAACAAGGTAGCCAAACTCACGTCCACTTTTCGATTACTACCTTTCCGACTCAGTCTACTAGAGCACACATTTGATTAACTTCTTCAGTGCTTTATGAACAAATCTGAGGCCTCCTTTGAGGCTGGGAGAACTCTCTTAGCTGGAAGAGCTGTAAAACATTTCCTGGAACATTTCAAACTTTTGTTTCTCTTTTCCCTAAATATATGCAATGGCCCAGAGCGTAGTTAGTCTGCATAATTATACACATGTGATAAAATGTTTGGATTCAGAAGGCCGGATAATTTTGTAAGGCTCTTGCAACTTGGTGTTTGCATAAGGGGCGCCAATTATAGGGAGCCGAAGGAGCTTCGCCACCCTCAGTATTTGTGGCCAGGGGACCGAGCCCCCCAATATTGAGGGGGCCCCAAACAGATTGGCCTCCACCTGCAAACACATCCTCTGTGTTCCCCATCCCCCACTGCTGATGGGCAAGCGCTCGTGTGCTGGGGAGGGAAGGCATAGAGGGTGATCTTTACTCTCCGTGCTCTCCAGCCCTTGTCGCTGGCAGGGCGCCATGGGGATCTCTCTGGGGCCATCTGTACACCCCAGATTGCATGCCTGGTGCAACAGCCCTCCTGGCACCCCCCACCAAGTGCAAATGACATCATGCGACACTGGGCCCCCTCAATGTGGGGGGCAAGTTGGTGCCCCAGTTTGTTTGTTTGTTAGCTCTTACACATGACCATGCACTTTGATTGCAATTATTTCCAAAGGGATAACCATCTTAATCTGTCGCAGCACAAACAACAAAAAGTCTTGTGGCACCTTAAACAAGAACAACTTTATACAGTTATACCTCGGAAGTCGATCGGAATCCGTTCTGGAAGTCCGTTCGACTTCCAAAATGTTTGGAAACCAAAGAGTGGCTTCTGGTTGGCTGCAGGAAGCTCCTGCAGCCGATCAGAAGCCACGGAAGCCCTGTTGGGTGTTCATGTTCCAAAGAACGCTCGTAAACCAGAACACTCACTTCGGGGTTTGCGGCATTCAGGAGCCAAAACGTCTGAGTACCAAGGCATTCGGGATCTAAGGTACAACTGTACCGACATAAACTTTTGTGGGCTACAGAAAATGGACTGTAAGGCCAGAATGCATTTTTTTCATCCTTAAATTAATTTCTGATTTATTTATAGTGGTTCCGTCCCACCCCGAGTGTAGCTTCATCCTCAGGTGCAGGTCAGCAATAAAACATCCAGTGTAGTTAACTCTTTTTTCAAAGGAACCAAAACAGTGCAAGCCTAGAGATCACAGCAATTCTTCCCAGTGGGTCTTGCCCAAGTGAGGCAGTTGCGAGGACTGAAGGTCTCCACCTGTCCGCCACTAGGACTCCTCCCCTGGGTCCTTCCCCAGCAACTTGAAGCACCTTGGTTTTATCTCTCTTTCCTCCACCCTCTTCATTCCTCTCGGTGTTCTGGGAGGCTGTGGGGAGAAAAGCTGGTCATAGCAGGAGAGGGAGACCCCCTGGATTCTTCAGAAGCCTGCCCCCACTCCTCTCCAGCCTCTGCTTCCACCTCCTGATCTGAACTGTCCTCTGCCACAGCCTCTTCCTGCTCATTAGACCCTATGTCCTTTTCAGCTTCCTCCTCCCAGTCTGCTCCCTCTTCTCCCTCTGACCACTTAGCATCGTCCCACCACCAATCCCCTGGCTCTGAGCCTTCTTCCCCCAAGGGTTCCCTTGGGGTTTCCCCAGCTGGTGCCTCACCACTCCTCTGCACCCAGCCAGTCCATGGCGACAGACATCAGTCCACTGTGATGACAAACCAAGACTACTGCTCTGCATATGTGTTTCTTTGGTTAGAGTAGGTGGCAAGTTTGGATAGAGTTCAGTCGGAGTGCATACTATTTTAGGTTTCTTAGGGAAGTAAACACGCGTGTACCAAGTGTATTGAGCTCCAAACACGGTGAAACCATTCTACTGATGAAATTAGGCAGGTTGATGAGAAGGTTCCTAAGAACTCTTGTGTAAGCTTTATGGGTAACTGGCCTGGATGAGATGCTTCATATGTAGGAATTTTATGAGTTCCTTGGAAGAAGAACAGAGTATCTATAATAAACAAAATGTGGGATAGACTGAGGCTATGCTAATGTCAAAGTCCAAGACAAAATGTTGACAGATGGCGGTGGTTGTCCCACACATCATATTATGCTTTCTTTTATAAGGGAGGTATTTTACTGTGCATCCAATTTGGCATTAAAATATTACATTGGAAGCAAGAAGCGCTGCTGGAAATATAAACCCAAATCTAATTGCAGGGGATGTTATATAAAGCACCCTGCCTTTATAAATGTGTAGGATTGTCTCATGAAAATCAGAGCAAGCGATCAGGCTAATCAACGATTATAATGAATTGCATGTCTTCCAGAAGCAATTAGGGAAATTAAATTTTAATAAACAAATAAGCGCCAAAGTCCATACTTGCTTATGGTTCCTAATGAATTTTAGATGAACAAGGACTAACTGATGATTAAACTATGGATGAGCTTGTACTGGATTTAGGCATCTTACACAAAAGTTACATTAAAAAAAATCAAATCGATGTACTTGCATTTCTTTCCTCAGTGTATTCCTGTATTCAGTCAGCCAACCCAATTTATTCTTTTAGGCTTCATACACACCATACATTTAAAGCATATTATTTCCCCCAAAAAGGCTTTTTCATTTTTAGAAAAAGGATGCTGGACTAGATGGGACCTTTGGTGTGATCCATCAGTACTACTGAATAAATTTGCTGTAATTCAAAGTTGTTTTCAAACCTGCAGGAAACAACGAAATGTATTTGTTTGTCCATTCGTTTTTTAAAAATCTTGCTAGTTAATTCCTTTGGGATTGGCAGTTTGGAATGTTTACTTCCACACTTTGTATCCAATCTTCTCCATAAAAAGGGACCCCTGACCATTAGGTCCAGTCGTGGCCGACTCTGGGGTTGCAGTTCTCATCCCGCTTTATTGGCCGAGGGAGCCGGCGTACAGCTTCCGGGTCATGTGGCCAGCATGACTAAGCCGCTTCTGGCGAACCAGAGCAGCGCACGGAAACGCTGTTTACCTTTCTGCTGCAGCGGTACCTATTTATCTACTTGCACTTTGACGTGCTTTGAACTGCTAGGTTGGGAGGAGCAGGGACCGAGCAACGGGAGCTCACCCCGTCATGGGGATTCGAACCGCCAACCTTCTGATCGGCAAGCCCTAGGCTCTGTGGTTTAACCCACAGCGCCACCCGTGTCCCATCTTCCCCATAGCTTACATCTAACAAAGAAGTGTCTTTTTCAAGTTCCAGAGTCATATTGGTACTCAGAAGCTTACTGCCTCCAAGCGGTATATAAATTGTTGAAAGAAATAATATTCCAGTTTCTCTGAATATACAGTCTGTCTTGGTAAAGGAGAAAATGGAGTTCCCTGAAAGTTCCAGTTGCCAGATGTTCCGAACGACCAGTACCCTGGAGTTATGATTTGTGTTGTTCTGAGCGTTCAGTGCAAGCTGCATTCTAACTGCCTCAGAACTCCAAGGGGCAGTTGCTTCAGTGAGCAGCTCAGACCAGCTTCAGTCTTCTCAGGTCTTCTCTGAGGTCAGACACACGTAAGAAAGACCTTGGAAAAGTCCTTGCGTACCAGAGAGTGGTTGAAGAACCAATAACATGTAGGTACATATATTCAATGGTCCACCAACATAGCAGTGTTTCATTAGATAAGAACAAATTGACTTTAATTTCCCTTTGTCCTGTCTGAATAATGGAGAGGGAAGGGAAAATAAGATGCAGAGGAGGAGAGGATTAGACAAAAAACCCCTTATCTGCAGGAAGGGGGTCCGTGCAACAAAAGAGGTTGTGAAGTCGTGCAGTTTTTTTCTGCCTCAGGTGTCTGAGCCAAGTGTCTACATCTGCAGGGAGAAAGGCTAGGCGCATAAAGCTCTAGGCAGAAAGGCCTTTGGCCCCACACTAGTCCATGTGCATAAGCTTCACTGAAAAACTGAGGAAGTGTGATTCCCGGCACCTGTGAATGCAGATGCAGCAGACTTTCCCCTTCCTACGTCTCAAGGTGGGAAATGTAGAATTTGCCCTAGAATGATGGCGTTGTTTTGGCTGCACAACACTCACTATTTGCTCAGACTTTAGGGGATGTCCATAAGACATTGTACCTGAGTATCTAACTGTTGTCTTTTGTCTTTGTTTTTCTCCAGCATGCCTTCAGTTGCCCGCCTTGCCTGTACTCAAGCGAAAGCACCACCCCAGGCTGATTATGGATCCCTTCCTGTATGGTTGCTGTGCAGGGCATCTTGCTTCCAAGTAGGTGCCTTTGTCTTGGCTCTTATTGGCTGTGTTATGTGCATCTGCTCCACAGCTGGTGTCCAGTGGAGAATGTGGCATGTTGACAGCATCATGGGCGGCAGCAGACCTGGCTTTGCAGGGATTGGGCTCTGGGTTGCCTGTTCTGCTCATAGAATTTCTATTAAGAAGATAAATGTTTTGTGCACAGCATTAGCTGATGATGAGTCCCTTCCCTCTGAAATAGTTATTGCTCAGGACTTCATGCCATTAGCCTCCATTGTGAATGCGGTGACCGTGTTTTGTATGGCCTTTCCATTATATAACATTTCCAAGCCTGGAAAACATGGAGATTTTATATTTACCTTTTTTTCCATAGGAGTCATTCTGGACTTAGCTGCAGGAACATTTGTGCTCATTTTCATTTCCTGGAATATGTATTCCATCCTAGCGAAGGAGGGAATGAAGCTCCCTGATGTTTTGGGATTGCCTCTCGTTCCAAAAGAGCAATGTGTTGGAGCTGCTATTTATGTGGGGTTCATTGCTGCAGGATCACAGCTCTTAAGTGGAATGCTTGTTCTTGGTGAAAAATATTTCTGGAGATTCAGGGAAAGAGTCACTTCCAAGGAAGAAATTGTTACTGATCCTGAAATTGTGGAAAGTGAGAGCCCATCTCTGAGGCTAAAGTGTAGGGAGGATGCCTCTACTATGAAACGTAAGTGTGAAGATCAACCCACTACTTTGGGGAGATATAGAAGGCATATGAAAATAGAATCTATGCCAAACTCATCAGGAATGTGGCTAGGAATGGCTCCAATCCTGGAACTGACTTTTTTAAATGCTGGCATGTGGCACTGTATAGATTTATTATCAAATTTGTTGGTTTTAGCCATGGGTAGGCAAACTAAGGACCGCAGGCCGGATCAGGCCCAGTTGCCTTCTAAATCCGGCCTGCAGACGGTCCAGGAATCGCCGTGTGGATTGTCAGCGCGTGGACTTCCAGCGCACGCATTCTTTCCCTCTCCCTCCCTCTCCCTCACACGGTGCCGCCGCCTCCTCCTCCCTCCCTCCTTCTGGCTTCTCCCCGCCCTGCCTAGAGGAGGAAGGGGGCTGGGCTTTGTTGGTGACAGCCCCTTTCCAGAGCCCTTTCGCGCACCGCTCGCTGTCCCTCCGCCGCCGCCACCACCAACCCCTGCCATTTGCAAGACACAGGAGCCGCAGTTGGCTGAGCACCCCTCTCAAGCTGCCACCATTTAAAGCAACCCCTCTCCGGAGCCCTTTCACGTGCCGCTCATCGTCCCTCGTTCATCCCCCCACAAAAAAAAAAATAGTCTGCCCCCCCAAGTTCTGAGGGACAGTGGACCAGCCCACTGCTGAAAAAGTTTGAGGACCCTGGTTTTATCTTAACTTGTGCATATTCTGTTTGAATTTTTGTTTTACACCGAATGCTGTTACATCCCACCCTAGGATGATTGCAACATAGGATAAACTATAAATAGGGGAAATAAATGAAAAGTACCAAATTATTATATCTAGATATTGATTTCATGCTATATCATTTTTAGCAGTAAAAAGAATGCTATCTCATTGCACACTTCTGCAGGACTGCTTATTTTGCTGCAAGCTATATGTCTATTGTGCTTTACATTTCAGATTTTCTGCATTTCAGGAACTCTTTGTGCATTGTCTTGTGTATGCCATGGAACAAGTGCAAATCGCAAAAGGTTCTAGGGCATGCTTGTGTGTGTGTGTGTGTGCAGTCAATTTCACAGAGAATACTGGCGAAGCCTTTGAGGGCCTCTGGTGCTACTCCCAGCCTTGAACAGTGTGTTCAATGATAAGGGACACTCCATTTCAGAGGTCCAGAGTGACCTCGGCCTCTTCTACCTTTTGAGGCCCCCTAGGCACAATTAAAAAAATGAAAATGATGCCACACAAAAACAAAATAGGGCACACACAAAAGGAGTGATATATAATTTTATATGACGAAATATCAGTGAACACACACAAAAAAAACCCCAAGTCTTTTACCAAATCACATCTCTCGTTTGCTCAAATTTGCAACTCTCGGGTTTTCTTTTGAGAAAGCATCATCTAGTACAGGCATAGGCAAACTCCAGCCCTCCAGACGTTTGGGACTACAATTCCCATCATCCCTAGCTAACAGGACCAGTGGTCAGGGATGATGAGAACTGTAGTCCCAAATATCTGGAGGACCCGAGTTTGTCTATGCCTGATCTAGTATTTTGAAGGTCTCCTATCTACTACTTATAAGATCTTGCACCAGTCTGAATCTGAAAGTTAAGTGGAGAAAATGTTAACTTAGTGTATGTAGCTGAAATAATGGGATTGCAACTACAATGTGTGATTAGTACAATTAAGCTGAGATTCTTTGCCAACCATCTCTTATGGATGGGGTTTTTTTGTAATATTGTTTTTTTTAATGTGTATACCGCCTTGTGATATTTTATATGAAAGTGTGGTTTATCTTAATTGGTTGATTTAAAATGGGAAAGCTAATTTCTAGGAAATGCTCTATTTGGGGAACTTTATGCCTATTCGGGTACAGTGCCTTTATTTAAATAGTTAGGATACATGTTGGAAATGAACTGCTCTGGAGCAGATTTCCAACCATGTTGGTGGGAATGTGTTCAAATGAAACCACATTGGATTCAGATGAATAGCATAATAGAATAGCAAAATCTTGGGCGATGGAATATATCCGTTGTATCATCTGTTTTTCTGCTTGGGTATGTAAAAATACAGCTCCAACTAATGTTTACATTCAGCTAGGAAATGTACTAATTAGTGTCGCTGTCACATTTAGCCTTGCCAAACTAGGAGGAGTATAGCATCACCTTCAGGGGAAACAGAGTGAGTTAAAGCACGTCTGAGCAAAACGTTTTACATAAAGAGAGGAAAGAGGGATTTGTCCCTGCAGTCTTTTTTCTGGTAAAGTTTTGAGCCATATTTTCCTCGGGGAAAGCAAACAACCTCTCTTCTTGAATGCAGTGGGACATATGAAGCAATATTTTTCACGAACAGCGCTGTGCCGTGTTAGAAAGCTTCATCCTAAAGAAACGCTTTTGTCTCCTCCAGAGGGTTGTTTAGACTGTAAACATCTTCATGCCATTAGTGACAGTGATGGAAAATGAAGATGCCCGTGTCAAAATGTGCTGGGAGTTGTATCCAATTCTATCATCTATCTATCTATCTTATTAATTTTAAAATACAAAATTATAAAACATACCACACAATTTATCACAAATACATTCTTACTGGAATTCCATCAGCTCCTCTGATAGTCCTCCGTCTTAGTCACTTCTTACGCATTTCCTAACTTAATATTGCCTTATATTAATAACATATCCTATCTCCTTTTTCATTTTTACAATATTTCTAATATTAATTCTTCACAGAGCTTCTTGCAAACCTACAAATGTTGTCTGGTCATCGCAAATACTTTTCAAATAGTCTGTAAATTTACTCCAGTCCTCAGTGAACTTCTGGTCCCGCCGGTTTCGGATCCTTCCTGTTAATTTGTCAAGTTCCGCATAGTCCATTAATTTCATTCTCCATTCTTCCATCGTTGGTAATTCTCCTTGTTTCCATTTTTGGGCCAATAATATTCTTCGCTGCTGTTACTGCATATATAAAAAAGCTTACATTCCTTTTTATTTATATCACTTCCCACAATGCCTAAGAGAAATGCTTCTGGTTTCTTTATAAATGTATATTTCAACATTTTTTTTAATTCATTATATACCATCTCCCAGAAGCATTTCACCTTTTTACACTCCCACCACATGTGATAATTTTTTTGCTAACTTCACTGGTGTAATATACCATCTATACATCATTTTCATCACATTCTCTGAGTTGTATCCAATTCTTGGGTGTGGAAGATTCAGTGGGAAAGTGGTGCATCCTCCAACAGAGACAGCTAAAGAAGTTGAAAAAGAGTGTTCCAGGAAACACTGCGCAATCTTTCCCTAGAAGCCTCTTCATGTCCATATGGCCTACTCTGCAATCTTCATGTTTGAGGAAAGATTATGGCCAAGGTCTTATAGATAGCCTTGCTTCCACCTTCTATCCCCACCCCATTAGTCCCT